AAAGAACGGTGAAGTGGGGGGGGGATCTTGTGTAAAGTGCATAAAACAACTGTAATAAAACAACAACCTTTCTAAGATTACAATATTTTAAAATATATTATTGGAATTTTCAACCTGAACGACATCTTATACGCACGTGGGCTGAATGGTAAGGTTAGATACTCCCTAGATTCAGACCTAATCTTCTTTAATACTGAATAACGGACCAGAGGACAGGCAGCCAGCCAGCAGCATTCGCCACCACAAGGGCTTTGTCTGGATTTTTTGGACCATGTAACGGGATTCACTGTCACTTTTATAACACCTACAGCGTGTTTAGGATCGTCAAATCTTGAACCACACAGCCCGACACGCTAACCATCGGATCTCACCCGGCTTTTCTTAAGAAAAACAACAACATCCAGAGTGAAATAAATTATTATTATAAAGGCGCTATATTGCTATACACATTTCCTTCGACATTATAGACTTTTATGTTTAGTGTCTGAAAATTATGTTTATGTTTGTTTGTTTTTGAATTTCACGCAAAGCTACACGAGGGTTATTCTGCGCTAGCCGCCCCTAATTTAGCAGTGTAAGACTAGAGGGAAGGCAGCTAGTCATCGCCACCCATCGCTAACTCTTGGGCTATTCTTTTACCAACGAATACTGGGACTGACCGTCACATTATAACGCCCCCCACGGCTGAAAGAGCGAGCATGTTTGGTGTAACAGGGATTGGAACCCTCGATCCTCAGATTGCGAGTCGAGCGCCTTAACCACCTGGCCATGCCGGGCCTCCTTTTAACGGATAAGTCCCAACTTTCAAATTAATTTATCAAGTTCTAAAGAAGGATAAAACAGAAAGCTAGAACATTTATTATTTTAAATATAGTTGTTTGAAACTTCAGTGTATAAAGCTTAAAAAAAAACGAACAAAAAAGTAAAAACTTAAGAAAACATTTTAAAAAGTTGTATATTTGTGCGGTAAAAAAAACAAACTTGATGATTAGATTTCATTTCAATCTAGGACACTTAAAAAATAAATCATTGTTTCACGATTTGGAATTAAAATAGCTTCATTCTATCATTAGCGTTAACTCTATCGCTATAAATAGGGTTTCGATACCCGCAATGGGCAGGGTACAGATCTCGCTGTATTGCTTAACGACAAACACGCATCTGTTATCAGAGTTAAAAACGGATCAGCGTTTTGCCAGTACGATGTTTATATTGATATATTTAATCGTTTTGGTTTTGTAATACGTTTAACGTTGTCTTACCTTGAACCAGCAACTGAATGTTAGTTTCATCTTGGCCGTATATGTTTGATGCCTTACAGGTGAACAGAGCCGAATCTCTTCTGTCAGTGTTGCGAATAATGAGTTGACCTGTGACTCCATCGGACGTTACAGTTTCTAAGAAGTCATACCTGTAAGAGAAAAAACTAAGCTGTAAACCGGAAAATAGAATTTATTTTGAAAAACAAATAATTTGCTAAAGAAGCTACATTATCATCATGATATACAAAATTTTTTGGTTAGTTAATACAGCAGCACCACAGCTGTTATTTTTACGACAACAAATACAGTTTTTCTATATATTTTTTAATAGTTGTTTGGGCTTTCGAAAAGATGGCAGCACCATCGTTTTGATGAAATTATGAAATAACTTTGAACACTTTCTTTTCTTCACAACAGAGGTTACAGCATAGATATCTAACATAATTTTGTTCAGTTTCTCGAAATGTACTGAGAACTTAAATTTGTTGTTAGCTCAATCAGTAGGAATGGATGCTTACCCTTAAGTAAATCAGTCTTGAAGTTGATTCATTCATTGATTCGTATTAGAAATACAATTTTACAAACAACATTAAATACAATATTTTATTAGAGTAAGTATATAACGTAGATACTGCTAGACTCTTTTAAATCAATCTTCATGAGTAGTTACAAAAAGTTTTAAAGTTATTATATTTTTGTAACGTATCAAAGGTAATGCATTTTTATTACACAAAGGTGAGTCGCCATTGATATTGTCACTATGACTGACACATGCTAAACGGCCAGGTTAGAGACCCATAAGATTTAGTAGCTATCCCTAATGTGGAACTGCTTACCAGAGGGAGACACAGTTATAACGCCCTCTGACCTGAGAGTGCGAATTGTGTTCAACTACATATCGCTCATCATTTGGCCACGCCTGGCCTAAAGGTAATCCAATAAGATAAATCAGTGGAATGCATCGTTCGAGTGAAAAACGGTGCTTCAGAATCTGGAGTTACTGGTTGGGAAATGTGATACTGATCGAATTTCATGCCAAATTTATATTGTACCATAGGTATGAGCCAATCTGGGTCTGATTTGTTGCACGTTATAGTTTATATTGTATCATAGGAAGGAGCCATTTTGGGTCTGATTTGTCACACGTTATAGTTTATATTGTACCATAGGTAGGAGCCATTTTGGGTCTGATTTTATATATATAAAGGTTGTTTGATGTTTCTCTTAATGCAATGCTACACAACGGACTATCTACACTCTGTCCACCGTGGGGAACTGAATCCGGGATTTTAGCATTTTAAATCCGTAAACTTACCGCTGACTCACAAAAATAGGAGATTTTCTAAGAAATCTCTTTATTCATTTTTTGCAGGTCCTAGCTACCTGCAACAATTGAAAGGTCGTTGTAATACAAAGTTTGCACCATTGTGTAAGAAAATAAACCATTTGTGGCCAAAATTTTACAAGGATGGAGTTTTTTATAGGATGAAGCCTTTTTGCTGTCACACCATTAAGCCTATCTTCCAGCGGTTGATAGAAGATGTTGAGCCAGATGGAGAAGGTAAGACGAATCGTTTAATCCGAACTTAGGAATACTCGCGGGGAAACTCCTTAATCGCCGAATGCGTTCCATCCACATCGGAAATCCTTCACTACGTGCTTCTATAGTCTTACGAACTTTAGGGATCCTGAAGCCTCTTAAATGTTCTATTGTACTCCACACTCATTCAGCGCGATACAGATAACAGTAAGTTTTGTGAAATAAGATGACAAAATGTATATATATATATATATATATATA